TTTTCACTATTCCTAATTATATGGGAAAATAAATTCTCCATGACACTAGAAGGAAAAACAAAGGAAGAGGGAGACGGTCGAAGACAAAGTCAAAAGATGATCGAACGGAATACTACATAACGAAATAGACTAGTGGTAGAAACTAGAAGGAAAAGCAGAGGAAGAGGGAGGTGGTCGAAAACAAGTCGACAGATGATCGAACGGCTTCTCTGCAGGTTAATAAGTCTTCAAATTACACCATATTTTATTTCTAAACGCTGCATTATAAATACTACTCCAACACCATTGTCTTGAAACCCGTACCAGGACTACTAATTTATTTGCATACCAAAATCATCCCTTTCATGTACTTTCGAACCTTCGATTCCCAATCTTCGAGAGACATTTTTACCGACAGATAAATTATGGAGAACTGGGAAGGCATTGAAGATAAGCAAAACTCGCAAAGTTGTTTTGAAGAGTACTGTAAGGATTTATTAACAGAAACATACGAAGACACTGTGTGGAATGCCAATCAACAGATAGGTCATGGCCAGAACCCAGATTCATCCGAATTTTTCAATTCGAGTTGGATCAATGAAGGCAGTCAGGAAGCTACCAGAACAGTAGAACCCTTGACGGCGCAAGGTTTTCTCCAGATTGCATCAGGAATACAGCCGCTGGAGAATCAGACAGCACCTGGAATCCAGACGTTGACTCAGCAACCGTTGGATCAACCTGCTGATAGGTACACTCATTCGAGCAACAATATCCATGAATCGGGTGAGGCAGAGCTGAAACTGCGTGAGAGGAAAAGAGGGTACGATAGAGCATATAGGGAAAGAGTCAAGGTAGTCAAAATTCCTTTATCCTATCATTAATATGAACTTTGTGAGTCATTGTGTTTTTGAATTTATTATTATTATTTTTTTAATGCATGGAATGTTCAGCAAAAGAGACAGAAACTTGAGGTTGAAAATCAGCAACAAGGTGAACAAATAGGACGATTAACTGCTGAAATTCAGTTAATGAATTCTAATCTGGTTGAATTGAAGGGTGAAAACAAATTTCTTAAAGAAGAAAATATTCTGTTGAATCAAAGATTGCAAACTCAGTCAAGTGAACTGGATCAGCTTCGAAATAAATTGAAGTACTTGGAGCAACTAATTGTAAGCCTGCCCCTGGTTGATTTTTTTTTTTTTTCTTTTTTTTTGATTCATGCTGTGGTAACACCATTAGAAAGCCTAACGTATCTTGTCATGTTTCTCTTCAGACGATGCTAAAGAAGCCACTGAAGAGGTTGTGGGATATTTTGTTGGAAAAGGCACCAAAATAATTGTAACCAAATAACTAAAACAGTTTATAGGGTGGATTTGTTTTCGGCCAAAAGTATACATATATAAGATAGTTTAAAATGTTAATATTATAATCTTGATATTAGTAAACAAATTATGTTTAAGTATAATTATGAATTAAATTTTAAATTTAAAGTTTTTTATAACTATTAATTAAGTAGATATATATATCCATTTAATTTTTCTTAATGTCTTAAGTAAGAGTGATATCATACTTCAAACTTAATTTGTTTTTCTTTATTATTTTATTTTAATACTAATTTTTCTAACACAGGTTGGGAAAAGAAATGGAGGACATGATGCCGCAAACTGCGGCAATGGAAGCTGCTGTGGAAGAGGAGAAAAATGCTCTGTTAACGAAAATTCCTAACTACGAGCTATTTGGTACTCAAGCCATTCCTCGTGAGTTCGGATTCGAATCGACCAACTTGATACAGAACATTTTGGGATAGCTGCCGTGGCATAACAAACTTGCTGAGTTGGCAGGCTCAGTTACAGCCTTAACAAAATTTGTTGAGATGGAATTCTTTGGTCTGTTAGTTGATTGGTTAGTCTATTAATTGCACTTATCCGTTTGAAATTAATTGCCTATCATAAGGGCCAACAATGTATAATAATACAAACTCCTTGCTTTTTGACCAATGAAGTCTTGGCCTAACGATTAAGACAAAGGTCTTATTATCTTAGTTTTAAGTTTAAATCTTATTTTATGTGTATTATTGTATAATTTTATGTTAGTTTAAAATTTGTAATTTAATATAATTTTAATTAAGTGATTACTATTTATAAAGTTTACAATCAAAACATGTAGATAATCGGAATCCTAAATGCTGAAGCTGTATCCACCATGACAATGCCATGTTATGGTTAATTAAAGGAAATTTGAGAACATGAAGGAATAAATACAAGATTATTTTTTATTGTATAAGACTCAATTTATTAACAATAGCATCTAAAAATGGAGATATTAATTTGAATTTTGGGTTAGAAAGATTTGAGAATCTGATTACAATTAAACATCCTAGAAAATGCTCATTGTCATTGTGAAGGAATTCAAAATCATACCATACCCTTCCTTCGAGTCCACCGGTATCAGAAGGCGGGCGAATTCGGGATTGCTATATGATTAGGAACCATACCTTGCTTTTTATGTTGGTAAAATGTATTCTCATTCTTTCACCCATCCTAACAGCATACGCATGATTGCAGATTAGGTTGTGCGATTGGATTATAACCTCTAAATTGGGATAATTAAACAATAAATTTCATCATTGCAACTAAATTATGAAGTCTGCAATCAAAACTTAACCAACTAAAATCGCAATCGGAAGATCACTGCAAGCTACATGAACTGAGCCATGTTTTGGGCCTAGGTCATCCCTCTGTTTGGGAGGCTGTACGTAACTCTGTAACGTTTCCAAGTATTAGACCTGGAATTGCTAAAGGGGATGAGCCCAAATGAAATTCAAGGGTTATTAGAGAAGCGATTCAAGTTAATTATTTAAATAATTTAATTATAATTTTATTTTTTTATTGAAATAAAATATTATTAATTTAAATTATATAACATGTAAATAATATATTAAAAAAATTAATAAAAAATTATTATTTATTATTAAAATTAAAAAAAAAATAATTTTAAATAAATAAATAAATAAATAGAATGAGGGAGCTTCACAACTGAGCTCACGGTAACCGATCAGGGCTTTCCACCAGAAGATCAATCAGCTATACCTGAGCTAACATTAATTCTGGGAAGGAACTGCAGAGAAACTAAGAAACTCATCTGCATTTATTATTAGGAAATCATTACGCGTTAGAATTGCCACAGTGAATATGAAATTCAAAAATATAAGGTCACGCGTAAAGAAGGAAAGATCCAAGAGGTGACCGAATGATTTCTAAGAAAGTTACTAAATCGGGAGAACTTCCAAACAACTTCCTTTTCTATAAATTGCTTTAGTATA